GTTTGAAATGTTTCTAGGTCAGTTTTTTCGAGCTGAATTCGAATTAAGCAACCACATGAACGTTTACAAAGTAGTTTTGGTGCCTTCGTAACATGTTACGAGGCTGTCAGAGGCGGTTGACACCTACTACAAATACCTGGCAGGACCTCTACTGGTTGACCTGACCTGACCTAACCCGACCTGGCCTAAATGAATGATGACATCATCTGTGATCAAAACTAGTATGATATTCGTGATCAGCACCCCGAAAAACCCCATAGCAGCCACACTACGACGTTCTAACAGGTCCCAATTTTCCCGCCTTTTGGGTCATTGACCTGACCTGGAAGGTCAACCGATAACCTAGGACCTTAAAATTGGGTATCATCGGCTTTCTCTCGTCACGGGCAACACGCTCGTTTTTTCCGCGAAGCTCTAGCTTGATCAGGAGCGAAACGGCAAGGGGTTATACCTTATACGTTCGCGGCTGAGTATTAATTTGGTTCAAAACAATGATGTAGATAAGTTAGTTATTTAAATCTAAATATCCTATGACGAGAGCGATGGACATTTTTGGTATGCAGTGTTATCCATTGAAAACAGGTCGAAGCTATTGAATTTTTAATTTAGTGGTCGCCGCTTACTAATCATGCGGCATACACGCCGCACATAACCGCCAATGCCGCAACGCAGCTTAGATTTCGAAGTAAGCATTTAGTCTCACCCGCTCAAATTTTCCGGGAACGTGTCAAATTGATGTATGATAAGGTCCTGAAAGTTTGACGTCGCTGGCGTAACGCGTTGAGAAGTTATTGGCGAAAAACGGGAGGGGGGCAGATTCTGCCCCCCCCAGCGGGGCGCGGGTTAACACACTGAAATAAATTCGAAAAATAAAGATATTTGCTGTAAAAGAGATTCGGTGCAGATTTGGTCAAATTAGGTGCACTCGCCGGATAGCCCGTCGTGAATGTGGCTAATATATAGTTATACCAGTATAGCGCCTTTTGGGGCGACTAACGGAGCGAGCGAAGGGGTGAATCTTGCACGTGCGAAATTTCGAGGGGGTACCTCCAACTGACTTGTGCACGGCACCCTACTGACCGGTTTCTAGCGATGTGCCAAATTTGAGCACAATCGGCCCAGCCGTTTTCGAGATCTGGAAGCGGCACCCTGCACGTGCGCACGTGCAAAATGGGTCCCAACTGACTTTTGCACGGCACCCTACTAACCGGTCCCTAGCCATGTACCAAATTTGAGCGCCATCGGTCCAGCCGTTCTCGAGATCTGGAATCGACCCCTGCACGTGCGCACGTGCAGCAGCACCCCAACTCTGGCACATGGATATGCAGTGCCTAGTGGGTGCCTACCTACATGCCAACTTTCAGCGCAATCGGCCAAGTAGTTACCGAGATATTGCAACAATTACAAAACGGACACCTCTTCGTTTTGCACGTGGCACGTGCATAAGGGGTCACCCACATGCATCGGGAATAGTCCAATACTTGGTAGAAGGAATGAAGCTACCCTACAAAAATTACCGCATGTAAATCGGTCAAGTGGTTGCTGAGATATAAGCCTCGCAAAAGCGTGACCACGGCCGGCCGGCCGGCCGGCCGCTCATACTCAGAAATTTCCGTTAATCTAAGGAAAGACTACGCTCGCTTCGCTCGCTCCGTAATAAAGCCGACTGTCGGTTGTACAGACGCTTCAGGCGTAGGTAAGTTATTCTGCTCACAATACTGCTACCCCACAAAAGTAGCATGTGTTTGCGGTGTTCGTTCAGCGCGATGGCGTTTCTAACAAAAGCGTACTCAGTTAACCCTCGCCGGCCGAGGGGGGGGCGGGTGCCGCCCCCCATAGGGTTTTTTCGCGATAGCTCCGAACACGCTGGCGATAGAGAGCTGAAACTTGACATACCTGACCTTTGATCCAAGCCGGATCTTTTGACACCAACCGCATTTTTGGGTTAGGTCAGGTCACTGACCTATGACGTCATAAGTGAACCTCTGCACGGTCTTCAGATGTCGCAACTTCGCAACGCCCTCACTGCCAGAGGAGATGTCACAGGGAAATGAAACTTGCAGGGTCTAGTATCCATTATGAGTCCCACAATTTGTATATCTCGGATTTTTCCTAAAGGTCATATGAGGTCAGGTCATTTTCGTGACCTCACCATTATAAGTCAATGGGGAAAAATTCAAACTGCTATTCTGGCGCCGGGAACGATCTCCAACTATCTCAAGCACACAGAATCGTGATTTGATGCACTCCTTGCAAGGTTAGATGCGTCACTTTTGCAATGTTGACCTTGCGTGACGTCATTTATGACGTCATCAAGGTCATATTAGTTTTTCGTCAATAACTCTTGATCAAATTGAGCTAGCGAGTCGGGAAAGCCACCAATGGACTCAGGAAGACCTACCGAATCGAATGATATGCGACATGACCTCTTTCGACCAACTTCGTGACCTGGGGGTGCTGACTTGACCTTGACCTGAGGTCAACACCCCAAGTTGACCTGACCCGGACAAAAAGTATATCATTCGACGCGCCTGAGCGAGACGAACACGATGCTGCCAAAATCGGCGCTCTGCGGCCGTTTTTTGCGAAGTTATTCACCAAAAACTGAACCGTACCTTGGGGCACTTGACCTGACCTCAGAGGTCACCGGTTGACCTAGGACCTTAAAATCGGGTACCAATCTCTGCGTCTCGTAACGGCGCACACGCTCGTTTTTTCTGCGACGCGCTAGCCCCAAAACAGCGAGGGGGGGGTCGTACCCGCCCCCCCCCCCCCCCCCCTCGGCCGGCGCGTATGTAGAAAACCAATAGGTCCGGCGAGGGTTAAAATGGTGCTCCTTCGGTTTACATGTCCCATAGGTAGCTTGTAGATATTTTTCTACTTAAGTGTAAAAAGTTGTAGTAGTGACAGAAGAGTCACTATTACCAAAAAAGCTCGTCATTCGAAGATCTGTGTAATAAGCAGCGAATTCCTCCAATCAAGTTCTACGGAACTGCGCCCGCGCTAACGTCCCAGCCCCTCTGCTCCGAGTATCCAGCTGAGCGGGGTCCAGCTAACAGAGGGAGAGTATTGCGCGCTTCCTGTACCGCCGATCCCATCCGAATCTGACAGCGAGCCGACAGAGGGTAAACACCACTGACAGCTACAGTTTCCGACCAGATTAGAACACGAACTACGAAAAACTGAGCAGCCTCGATGGGCTGCTGCGCAGAGGAAATGAGTGCAGAACTGCAAATAAGTGCTGAAATGTCTGCAAGACAGTACTTACAACACTGGGTAATTATATACTGCGCAGTGACCATTGTTGATAGTAAAAGTTGTTGGGTGACATGAATTTTAAATAGTGCATGTGATTAGAAATCGGAGAAGTTGTAAACACTGCAATAAAATAAAATTTAATTAAATAGGTAGGCACTTTAAGTAAGTGGCTGGCATCCAGGCTCTCCACTTAGGGCCGCCATCCACTCGTTTAGTGCGCCCCGAATTTAACATTGAAGTCTATAGGCTGCGCGCCGAATGCGGTTCAGCGCCGAATGCACGATGAATCGCATTCTGCTGACAATTCGACGTCTGTTGGGCGTCGAATCATGCGCTAACGACTCAAGATTACATTACTACTCAATACTCATGACGACTTAAAACACTTCAAGTTTTCACTGTGCACTAGGTAGGTACTTAACGATTACGCGCATATTGTGCGCCTAACCAGTGGACGGCGGCCTTTACTTGAGCTGCCCACATCGCAGCCCTTCAGTCTCACGGCTCCCATCAGCGCAGGGCGAGCTATTTGTAAATATATGCCAGCTTTGCATCGCTGATCAAAGACTGATTACATCGAGCACGTGTGGTAATTTTCTACATCGGTACAAAGGTGTTCGGCAGCTTTTGGTCTTAGCAATTGATATCCAACTTATAAGGTTAACATTACATTATTTTCCAGACGCATCCTGAAATCGTTGGACTGTTTGGTGGCGATTTGATCAACATACTGTCGGTTCGGTCTTATATTGGATAAATATGTTTACACTGTTCAGCCTCTCCCTAGTGAACACTGCAGACCACATGCTTTTCATGCTTTTCACCAATGTGGTGGTAAGAAACGCCAGCAGTTGGCAATGTGCTAAAAAAAACGGCGGCCTAACACCACTCAGGTCGAGGTATAGTGGATAAAAATGGCATTGCATTATAAAAGAAGAATATAAATCAGTAACGCTTTCACCCAATTAATGTTTAGGCGTAACATGAGTATTTGTCTCTATGTAAATCCTTTCCAATTATCGCATTAAAAGTTGCCGTGAATGAGAAAAGAACTAAGATATGAAAGCCTGGCCCTAGCAATCCTCTAGCACGTCTTTGCAGCCATCCATAAGTACCAACAGGCGTGGCCACGTCACTGATGCGCCCGGTAAGGCGCTCGACTGTGGCACCTGCAGGCACGTGGCGAGTCGGACGATGAGTGGAAGTAGCACCCTCCACCCACCCTGCCTGATGCCTCCACCCTGCCCCGGTCGTCACGGACGTAATCCAGTCTCGGAAGCAGTGCGACAACAGAAATTTCAGCGTCGGATTCATGGCCGAGCACTGGGCACGCCAGGGTACGCGATGGAACACTGAAACGCGTTTCCATGGCGACCGCTAGCAAATCCGCGCCGGTCTCTGCCTCTAAAGTGCCGGTGAACGAAGGCATGGAGCAAGGCACGATAGTAATCTATAGGGCAAGTTAACAAGTGCAAAAATGCATTGCGGCGAGAGATCTGATGAAAAATAATGGAAGCCGGTGAGCCGAGTGTTGATAAGATTCTTTAGCACATGTTTATTGTTGAAGAATGCCTTTTGATGCCTACCAACTAACCAAAAATTAATCATAATTTCAATCAAGTCCGTATTCAATCAAATACGATCCTGAATAGGTACACAGTCCAATCGATACCTGCAATTAAACATTAGAACCTTGAAGGGACACTCCAGTGACAGAGTTGTAGCTGTCACTGGAGACTTACCTGAAGACGTTGATGCCGAGGAAGATGAATGCCGAGTACTTCCAGCCGACAAAGTCCGGTCGCTGGACGTGCAGGGGGAAGCAGATGCCGTTGATGCCGTAGAAGGTGCTGTAGCTTCTCCAGTAGAAGACTGTGGTCAGCAAAGAAATGAAGGTCACTCAGAGGAGATAACTTTTAACCGATTTAGGTTAATTGGAGTCAGGTTCTAGTTACCGGAATAACACTTAGTCTTCGTTGTTTATTGTTTGATGTTTACTTCACAATAGCGCCAACAGGCAGTGTCCAATGTCCATTGAGAGGCGAATTCAACAGAAGTTTTTTTTTTTGCTTCTTTCCGATGCATTCAATAAAAAGGTAAGTTGTTATTGATATCTGATTTGTTACGGCTAAGTCAGGTTTATCGTCATTTTGTTATTCTCTACTCGGCCGCAGCAGACAGTCTGGCCCCGTCGTACCCACCTGGCACGAGGGCGATGATCAGGCCGACCGTCCAGATGACCGACATGAAGCCCAGCACCGTGCGCGACATGTGGTTACTGGCTCTCTGTCGGATCATCGGGTACACGATGGCCAGAAACCGGTCCACAGACATGAACGTCATTATCATCACCGCCACCTGTCGGCCGAAATCGGAACTAACGTCAGTTCTGGTGGATGGTGGATAGATGATGAAAAAAACAGGAGAGACGGGGATGTCAAGCGACCTTAATGCTAATGTGGCTGAGTTGTACCATTAAAGGAAGCCAAACGTTACTCGACTATTTCTGACCTTCCATAATTTGATACGAGTGATTTATTATGCAAGTACTAGACTTGAATTTACAATGAATATAAAATAACTGTAAACTAATTAAGCATTATCAAGAAATTAAGCAAACAAGTGGAACTTAGAAACAACTTAAATAATACAGCTTGTGTCATCTAACTCCTAGCCTAACAGCCTGACAGTTGACATGGCTTGACTGCGGATGAAATGGCTACGCCTCTGAAACAGACTCTTTCCGCAGTCAGGAAATCGCATGCGAGAGCCTATTCAAATACATTAAATCACGCTCGCATCAATCGTACGCACCTCCCGCACGCGTTTGATGCGGGATGGATTGTAAGGTATTTGAATAGGCTCTCGCATGCGATTTCCTGACTGCGGAAAGAGTCTGTTTCAGCCTTTACACGAAGACAACATAAAAATATTTGACATGCAACAATCCATTTTTAAGCTATTCCAGAAATGGAACCAGAGTGTTGAACTATTTTATCGAGAATGGAGCGAGCCAAGAGTCGCCGCTGCTGACCCGAACACGAAGTTCCATGGCACATAGGGAGGATATAGCCTTTCAGGAACAAATGGCTGCGGCTGCATCTACAAGTTTTGCATCAATAAGTGAATGCCTTTGCAAAACTTTTCGTGACCGCCCTTAGGAACATTTCCAGGAACTCCGGCACCGTACTGAGCTGGGTTCATTGATCGGCACGAGGCAAAAGTCAGATCTGATTACGTAACGCTGTGACAACTGACAAGGATATAAAATCGAACATTAACCCGCGCGGGGCTGGGGGGGGGGGGTAAATTTTACCCCCCTCGCGAATTTTGGCAATATCGCAAAAACGGCGGCGCGCAGCGCCGCCAAACTTTCAGTACCTTTTCTTACATCAATTTGACACGTTCCCTGAAAATTTGAGCGAAATCCGTCGGAAACTTTTTGAGAAATTGACGTTTTAGTGACGTCATGTTCGCCATTTTCGCCTCAAAAACGGCAAAATTTCAAACGCCGCTAACATCTTCATTTTTAAAGGAATCAAGACGTAACAAAAAGGTTATACGTCTTTCTACCTTGTCTATCAAATGGCTATCTCGGTTTTTTGAAACTTTTGGATTTTGGCCCAAATGTTTTCAAAAAACTGACTTTTTTGGGAAAATAGTTATAAAATCCAAAATTTTGAGTGTATCGAAAAAACCGGAATATATGTCAGAGAAGTGTTCTATGTGCACCTACATACCAATTTTTAGAAGAATCGGTTCAAAAATGTGGGAGTTATTCAAAATTTTATGACGTCACGACACACAAAAATTTTGAAAAATGATTTTTTTGGATGTTCTAGACCTTGTACGGAAACAAAAATAGCACCATTCGATTCGCCGTGAAAAACTGTATCAGATAGACACCTTTTTAGGCCTTAACAACCAACTTCAAAATTTGACCTCACTTGACCTGACCTTGACCTGACCTCGACCTGAAATTCATCCAGAGGTGGTCCATATCACTTATTGAGTGTGCCTATTGAATTCTATGAGTAAAATGACCCATAAAACATGTGTCGCACATGCCCTTTTCTATATTATGTTTTTGGTGACCTGACCTGACCTGACCTGACCTTGACCTTGACCTTTGAATGACATTGTATACAACGAATATTGTCTTGGTAGTCTAAGAACACGTTTTGGGCAATCAGTCTCAGTCCATTCTTCGGCAACTACGGTGCAAGGCCGATACTGTAGAAACTTGCAATTTGTACCCTTGACCTGACCTTGACCTTGACCTCAAACTTTAAATTAAGTGCATGTTTATAGTTGTTCGTGATGAGATCTTTCGATTGGCGTTTGAATTTTCCAAATCGGACCATTAGTTCGGGAGATAACAGGGGGGGGGGGGGGGTAAAATTTACCCCCTCCCTCCCCCAGCCCCGCGCGTTCGGCTGGAGACCCCAGCCCCGCGCGGGTTAATCTACAGTAGTTACTTAAAGCTCACTTGTAGTTGTAATAATCATAAAAGTGGCATTCAGTGGATGTTTGCTAACAGTGTTAACAAAAACATTCAATCTTCTTGAATGTTTAACGTTCCTTTCACTTCTCATCGGCACCTTCCGTTCGAAATCCACCTTTATGAAAGATATCTTTCCGGCCAGGTCGCAGCTGCCCATAATCACCCAGGCTTCAAGCACTATCAGCATGGGGCAGCTCCCGGCGAAATGGTGACGGAACGGACATAGAGTCCGCCACTGATGCTGATTTTCCCACTGGGATGGCCGGAGGCAACTACCACGTCCGTGTCCCCTTATCACAACAACTGGAGAGGCTCTCCACTCAGCTGAAAGCGCCCATTAGCACTCGTTTACACCCAGCGAGAGAAATACGACGAATGAGAGAGATACGCAAGGACAATGAGAGGAGAGAGAGAGAGAGAGAGAGAGAGAGAGAGAGAGAGAGAGAGAGAGAGAGAGAGAGAGAGAGAGAGAGAGAGAGAGAGAGAGAGAGAGAGAGAGAGAGAGAGAGAGAGAGAGAGAGAGAGAGAGAGAGAGAGAGAGAGAGAGAGAGAGAGAGAGAGAGAGAGAGAGAGAGAGAGAGAGAGAGAGAGAGAGAGAGAATGAGTGAGAGATACGAGCAGAACGCTGATTGCGCTGCAGCCGTTCAGTCCAGCACTCGCTCGCACTGAGACGACTGAGGACGCTCTGCAGTTTAGCTCTGCAATCTCGTTAGTCGCCTGTGTCTTCCGTTGAGTTGGAGGAGAGCCGCGGCCTGTTTGACGGCGAACGTGGAACCTAATTACACTGACAAGGTGACGGGAGCGCCGGGTACCTTAGTGAAAACACGGAATAAATTATAGACGCTGCGGGGACGACGGCAGGTGATGGTTAAAAAGAAAAAACACAGTGAAGGATTGTGCTCAGACGGGATCATTTAGTTACGTATTTGATTACAGTGGAAACAAATGCGTAATTGAGGACCTGAGGCTAATGCGTAATTAATTCCTGTACCAAACATGACTACCTGTTTTACTCACAGCAACATCATGAAAAGCGCAGGTCCTGGCGGGTCGATAAGGCCCGACTAAAAATACCCGCCTGCGGTGACATTTTCCGTCCTCGAGGCTGGCGATAACGGCGCTAAGAGCGCTGATGAGACCAGTAACCGTTTTTCAACGGCAGCCAGGGGGTCTGGCAGCACTGATAACCCCATTTGGCAGCTTTTACGTCCGTTAGCAAATTCGCGGGTATTTACACATATGGCCAATCAAGATAGCCGTCAAATCCCATGAAAACGAAAACCATGTGCCGATAGCCAGTCATAAGAATGTCTCACGATTCTGTGTGAATATAGGCAAATAAATAGAGGAAGAACCCGCCGCCACAGATGTTTGCCAAACGTGTAAATGGGCATTTTTTGTTTTGCATAAGAATGGAGGACCCTATCATCAATTTGATGTGTTTCATTTAATTATTTCAGTCGTCACACTTACATAGGTACCACATTTCCTTCAGTTTGTTGCTTTATTCCAAATAATCTTGTATAATTGAAAGAGATTGGTAGATAACATTATATTGACATTTTCCCAGATCGTGGCTGCTGATGCAAGGCTCTGGCGATGAGGGGTCCAGGCCTGCCTCAACACATCCTGATATTGTGCCAACCATTTTACTAGGGCAGTATAACACAACGACGACAATCCTGTGATGATGGTTATTGCGGCACCACAGACTCCAAAGGGATATTCACTATTCAGCCTGATGTCAATCTGTTGAAATCACTCCCCGCTCGCTTCCCAGCTGAATATTGCTTTCCGCGAAATACAGAGGCAGTGTTTGCCAGATAATCATGTTCATTGCCTTTACATACATTATTGAAGATTAATTAATGTCACACAATGCATGAATGACGTACCATATAACTGTTCCTTTCAGGATATAAAGACGAATGATGCATCATCCTATGCAACACAGTTCATGTAAAATATCTATGAGGCCTGATGCGTACGTTTAGGTAGGTAATTAAAGCCGTAATTGACACAAAATGCTGTTGGTTTGATATTGTTTCATTTCAGCCCGGGAAGAGAGGATCGGAAACTCAACACACCCAAACAACTACAAATATCTAAAGCTTGACTGCTCCGTGCACCGGTCAGAAGCCTCAGCGGCCGATCAGGCAGCTCACATATAATGACGTCACGGCCAGCTTACCTCGGATGACGTCATAGCCAGCACACCGCTGATGACGCACAGTGGTGAGTCTCTCCAGTGAGCAGCGTGCTCGTTATAATCGCCCCGGTACTCGAGATCTTTGAAGGCCAGCACAAACAAATAGATGCCCATCAGCAGATCAGCCACTGTCGGAACATAAAATGGTGGTAAAGCAGGCGGAGTGTTTATACATCGGGTCAATCTACATTTACCGTTTGCACGGTCTATAACACGTGCAACTACCTCATAGGCAGCACGCGTTCTCTCTCTACATATAGACATATTTCTCTCTCCCTCTCCCTCTCCTTCCCTCTCTCTCCCTCCCTCTCCCCCGATCCACTAACCTGCCAAGTTACAGATGAGTACGCTGACGTTCTTATTATCGTCGGCTCTCTGGAATCCACGGCCCCACAGTACCACCAAGTTTCCAGTGACGGTCATCAGAGCTATCAGCCAGATCATGGCCTTATGTACGGTGGTGTCCAGTAGGTGTTCCATGGAGGACACGCCTTGCGCAGAGGACGGAGCTTCAGTTGGTCGTGAACTCAGAGCGGAAGACAAGGGATCACAATTTGAAAGTTTAAAGAGGGCAGTGGAGAAGCATGGGCTTAGTGGGGCTTACAAAACACAAAAACGTAAGGATGGTTGCTTGATTTTGTTGTGATGAATGAACAAAAGACGATATTTAAAGAGATCTTCTCGCCTTTTTTGCTGTACATACATCAGAAAGCCTTAGTACCGATCACGGTTGACTTTGGGCACGTACCGTCTGTTCGTGGCTCGCAGTTCTTCACTCGAGGGGTGTAGGCACAATCGGAGAATCGGGCAAAACGTCTGCCAACCACACAAAAGTAGTGATAATTCCTTGTCATGAGAAATATGCAAAATACAAAGCACTAAAGCACTTCATGAAAATCATATCTGTACTTTATGTTATGCCGCAAACAGCGCAATAAGCACGCACTTCAGGAATACGAATAAACGAGTAATCATGTTTTGCAACATTGAATCCATGAAGCGTTGCATTGGCCGGCTTGGTATGAGCAAACTGTGCAGAGTGCTATATAACTTACATTTTGCTGAGTTCGTGTAGAGGAGACCACATCGTTTCGCTGATGTTGTCTATGGTCAAGCCGTTCAGGTCCCTGCAATAGAGAACATATTTAGCAATGATGATAGTACTGAAACAGTGTCTATGGGAACCCAATATATGGAACTTGCGCTGGATCATGGCGTCCTGAGAGCAATGTAAATACCTAGGTGAAATGTGGTTGATATTTTTTCCAACACTGATCGCTCTATAGGCTCTTGATGCATTGCGGAAAAATATCAGTATATTTACAAATGCATGCAAACGAATTCCGGCGCAAATAGAGATAAAAGCAGAAAACATTGTTGTTTATTTTTCCTATTTTAGATAAAAGCAGAAAACACTATTGTTTATTTTCCCAATCTTACATTCTGATTCAGCGACTGAATACGGCAGTCAAAGGAATTACGCTTTTAAAGAAGTGTTTGCGATACTTACAAGGAATAAAGTGATATCAGATCGTGAAAGCCATCTTCTGGGAACGTTCTGAAGTTGTTGAAGGCGAGATCGCTGGAAAACATAAAAACCAGGTAAGAATAGCAGCGTCATCGATATACTATTGGATGCTATAGTTAGGCATGGATATGGTTATTGGATATGGATATTGAGTGTTGTCTTTAAGTCACGCTTCAAAATACATGAGTCCCAATAAAGACAACCTCATCTATGCCACGTCAGAGCACCTATCATTAACTGACAAATTGACAAGCATCAGCCCTTGCCAGCCGTTAATTCAAATGAGCTCAGTCCTAAACCGTGTTCAGCAGTAAGCATCATGAGCACTTACAGCACCGTTAGCAGTTACAGCACCGTGAGCACTTACAGCATCATGAGCACTTATAGCACCGTGAGCACTTTTATAGCACCGTGAGCACTTACAGCACCGTGAATACTCACAGCACCGTGAGCAGTTACAGCACCGTGAGCACTTACAGCACCGTGAGCACTTACAGCACCGTGAGCCGCCGCGTGGTGACGAACCAGGAGCGGTGCAGCAGCGTCAGACGGTTCCCCGACAGGTAGCTGACGAACAGACGACAAGAAACGTCAGACACAGACCGAGTACCTACAGCTGCTGAGGGTAGATCGGTTGCGCTATAGGCGCACCTCACTGCATACTTGCAACAACAAACTACGCGTATAGCTGCAGTTATGAGCGTACTCCGTACCGAATGAACGCATACCGAAATAAAACCTTGCCGGTGTGATGCTGACTGGTTGGGCTTTCGAAAATTAATTCAAACTTTTGTCATAAGCGACCCACATCCAGCCTTACAAGAAACTATTTCAAATATGCGTCGAGCCGAGTGTGGAAACTACTAACAAGCAGCCATCATTTTCAGGCACCGCGGAGCGGTCAAATGGCTAAACTTGTTTCGCGTTTTCTCGTTACGTGGCCTCTTCCAATCTCTTACTCAGCCAGTTTACAAATTAAGAGTGTTCGTTTTCAGCGGGCCCCAGCTGAGCTGCTGGTCGTCCGTTCTGGAGAGTATGGGCAGCTCGTTGGTCGTAGTTTTGATGGAGCGCCTGTCTATGGGAGATTGCCCGCGGACACAGCCGAAGCAGAGTCAGGTCGGCGAGGTGGCGTCATTGTCATAGCAGCCATGGCCGTTTCCATCCGAGAAAGGGATCATGATCCGGTATACCCCGCTGCTCCCCGGACAACAGAGTTGAGGTTAATTGATGACAACTGAGTTTTAAGTTTATAAATACACATCACGACTCAGCTGTTAGGCTCAGCTGCCCATCTCCACCAGCGCAGATTTAATGGATATTAGACATCAGTGAATGGATTTTACGGTGTATCACACTGATAAAAATTTTGACACCCCACCTCTACGACGACTCCATGTTTTAGAGTCTGAGTGCTTAGATTTTGGTGTCCGACTCCAAAATGTATGGTCATTGACCCCATCGTTTGGCGTCGGTTTCCGACGAAGCCAAAATATGGTGTCCTCCTGAGAGGGTCATGACACCCTTAAATCGGATCAGTGAGCTCTGCGAGGGTGTCCGACACCAAAACGGCAATAGTTGACGCTTTTGTTGGGGAGTTGGCTATCTTTAAAAGGGAGTCGTGTAGAGGTCTGCACCGGCCGGCTGCAGCCGCGGCTGGCTGCAGCCCCACGGCTGTGGGCCGGGGCGGCTGCAAATATCTCAAAGAACACGGCTACGGCTGTGGCCACGGCTGTGAGATTTCAAGCTCAATCTTAAGTACTCAAATCAAAATATAAAATTTTAAATCCTTAATCTTACATTCTGATAAGCAGTCTAGCCTGTAAAAATCATGCAAAGAATGCCCAGCAAATGCAAAGAATGCCCTTTCAAAGAACATTGAAAGTGGTGAAGCCTTTGAAAACCTGTAATGGTTTTACCATTTGCTGTAGGGGAGTTTGCACTCTGGTACAGAATACTAATTATATGTACCAATTGTTCCTTCATCATCAAGAGCTTGGCAGTTTCAGAAAATGCAACATGTTGCATTGTCACATCCCTCTCAAATCAATCTCACCTGGTCATTAGGAGAGCACCTTACAGCTATTGAAGACGAGCGTTCAATAATTCTTTCAGGTAATAGAAAAAGAAATCACGCCTAGGTAAAGGCAGGTAAAGGCTTCATAAAATATTATCTAAAATAACTCTTAGACGTATTTCTGGATTTTCGGCAAGTCCAATTACATAATATAAAACTGGCGCTTTATGTTCTAACTGGTGTGTGAGTGACCGCTAACAGAAAATGCTGATCAAAGAAGCCAATGGAATTAGATTATAAGTGAGCATGAACCCTACTCACGGTTAATTCACATGATGGTGAAAACCCTGAACACGTAATTCACATGACGGTGAAAACCCTGAACACAATATTTCTTACGCGAGCTGTTGACTTTACTAATAAAATGACGTCTTCTTCTAAAAATGTTAAAATTTGACCATTAATCTTTGTTTGAGAGCAAGTTTTTAGTTTTATAGCATTATTATTTATTATTTATAATTTTTATGGCTGTTTATAGTGACACAAAACAATTCATTGCCACTTCTTTGCTATTGACGTCATTAAAAACTCAAGTAAAATTTTTGATTCAAAGAGGCAATTGTGGCTCGCACGTCCTTGACGATTTGAGCGAAGATCATTATTTGGAAAAATCAAAATAGATGAATGTTTTTCTTTCTTGGATGCTCACTAGTGTGTTGATGCCTTGCATATCAAATTAGTTTGAGACTTGCTCAGAAGGCTGCTTTAAGCCTGGCATATCACACCCCAAATAATATGCAAGGTGAGAAAGAAGCAAGAGTTTTGACTAGACAATCACTGTTTGACAGTCCATCAACTTCAGTTTCATTTTCCATACCTAACATTGATAATGAAAAGCATCAGGGTCTGTTGTTCTGTCCCACAACCATGCTTCAGGATTTGGCATTAGATGTCTACACTGCTAGTGCTTCTATTCTGGTTCGTTGTTTATGTTTTCTGTTGATGTAGGTACCTACCTACCCATCTTTCTTAACCCCTTGCAAGGGCTTGTGTAAGCATGCGATGCGCATCAGGCTTCAGGCCTTCAGCCTAAAGCCAGATACACAACCACTTAACCTATGATGCTTCATGAGCTTGAGAATCTATAGCCCATTGCAATGTGCTTTTGGCTATATGTTTCAACTAAAAACAACTTACTATATACTATTTGGTTGCATTTCATTGAAAGTATCCACGGCCGGCTGATGGCTGGCTGCCCACAGTTTGCCACGGCTGTGGGCGGCTGTGGCTGTGGAGCCATGGCTGCGGGGCGGCTAGGCTGTGGAAAATTGCAGCCGTGCAGAACTCTAGAGTCGTGCATCTTAGCAAGGGAGTAAGAAACCCCTTTATGGGAGTCAAGTTAAAATGAGGTGTCTTGACTCTACGTTATTGCACTCACTTAACATGGAGTCGAGACTCCTTTTACACATTTGACTCCCATAAAAGGTGCTTTACTCTCTTGCCAAAATATCTGACTCCTCATCAAAGAAGGATGACTCTCTTTTGAACGTAGGTGACTACCTTTGGAGAATAAGTGATTCCCTTTTGAAACTGTGTGACTCTCGTTTGAAAATGAGTGACTCCCTTTTTAACATGTGCGACTCGCCTTAAAAATGTGCAACTCCCTTTTCGAGAGGTACAACTCCTTTTTGGAAATGTGCGAATCCCTTTTGAGTTAGGTACGATTTTCTTTTAAGATATGTACGACGCCATATATATAGTTTACATATAGGTATGACTCGCTTTTGAAGGTGTACGACTCCCTGTTCAATGATCCCTCATGATATACCACTCACTTTTGAAAATTTCCATTGATGTACGGCTTTCTTTTAAAGAACTACGACTAAATACCTCGCTGAAGATATGTCCCTCTAACAAAAGTGTGACGTTACATTACGGGAATGTTAAACTCTAACAGAAAATGTATACTCCCTATTTAAGGTTTCAGACTCCTCTACGACTCCTTTAAACGGATGTTATATAGGTGGCGCTGCTATCGTGCTGGTACTGAAAGTTTTATTTTTTCTCATAGATGTCGCTGATTGTGACAGTCTTTTTTTGCGTCGAACTTTCCGCTTTTTGTCTGTAGGTTTGACGTACCTTGTCTTTCTTTCATCATTTTCATCAGTTTGGCAGTTTGAGATTTAGGACTGGCCCATCACAACTTCTATATGATGTAAGATGATTGTGTGGTAATGCTTTGACGGCTAAAACTCGGTGAAAAGATTCATGTTGTATATAATAAAGCTTAATACTTGCATGTGTGTGGTTATACTGATTAGATTCCAATCTTGGAGTCAAATCAAAATTTGCAGACCGGATGTGGACATTGAAGTCATATCTAGAGATCTTCCTGGAACAACACTTTGGAATTTCTCAAGATATGATGGAAATGGAGTACATCTGTACATGTCACGATGACAACAGTGAATGGCGGCAACGTGGATTCTTTTTCGCTGAAGAATGGTGAAACACCAAATAAGACGATTCTGCTGAAGCGCGTCGCGCGTAGGGATATTTGACACCTTTAAAAAGATAACACTCCAGAAAAGTGTCATTTGCACCTCGGTAGGGGGTAATTCAAGAGAGATATGACTCCATTTAAGGTGATATGCCAAAAAGTCCGCCCCATAGGAGTGTCAAAATACCCTCTTTTGGGGCATCATTACCCCAAAAGAAAGAGTCCTAAGGGGAGTCGCGACTCTATTTATGGTGACATGCCAAAAAGTCCGCCCCACAGGGGTGTCAAAAAACTCTCTTTTGGGGCATCCAAACTCCGAAATCAAGAGTCCATGTACGCCAATAAACGGCGTTCACGGACACCATATTACGGTGTTATGATGCTCCAAAAGAGAGTTTGTTTGACACCCCCGTGGGGCGGACTTTTTGGCAGAGTCACCCTACCCCCCATTTGGTGTCATTTTTTCTTTCAGTGTGCAGTATGGATTATGGAACACAGCGGATAAAATAATGATGAAACCAGCCACACTGCTGTCTTCAAGATATAAATACTTACAGTTCGGTGAGGTTGGGCAGACCACTGAAAGCATCCGGTGCGATATCTTCAATCCTGTTGTCTCGCAAGAACCTGCCCAAAACGGAAACGAGCCCATTTGAAAAATGAAATCGCCTCGAGATGTTAGATGATCCTATGTCAACCGGCCTGTATGCTGTGTGCTGGTGTTATCGACATCGAGTGTAGCACTGAATGTGAAAAGCTATTTGTGAGAGAGGCAATTAAATGGATAGCTTGTTTTTGGAAGTGAAATCAATGGAGCTTCTTGACTCACCAACGACTATTTTAGTAGGAATATGCACAAATGTGAGTTTCGCGAGACGAGCATTAAAGATATTTTGTCATAGATTTGCTAGAGCAGTAGGTTTCATGATAACATTAACCCGCGCCCCGTTGGGCTCTGCCGAGCAAAGCGCCCGGTTGGAGGGGGGGGGGGCATTTTGGCCCCCCCCCCTAAGATCTCGAGAACCACGCAACATAGCGACAAGCGGTAAACGGCGTTGGATAGCCCCAACGGGGAACTACCTTGTGACCCAATTTTATTGACCTAGGTCAAACCGATGACGTCACAGGTCAGGTCAAAGGTCCAATTTTCACCGTTTACAGGCACTTCAAGAAATGCGTTGTAAAATCGAGTAAAATGCATTTCATTGAAAATCATCGATGGGGAAATGTTCTTCAAACACATATTTTGCTATTTGAGGTCACTGATACCAGGTCAGGTCACAGAGGTCAGGTCACGGGGGGGTCACAATATGAAAGTGTCGTGTGATACATGTTTTATGGTCCATTTTACATGACAAATGCGATTATATGGGTCAGGCAGCCTTTGGGGCCAGCTTAGATCACGTTTTGGTCAAGGTCAGGTCAAGGTCAGGTCAAGGTCAGGTCAAATTAGGTCAAATTTCAAAGTTAATATTTTTGCATAAAATGGGTATCGAATCGATGCAGCTCGTCACGGGGAGTTCAATGGTGGTCTTTGTTTTGCCGTACGTGGTCTAGAATCGCTAAAAATTGAGTTAAAAAATTTGACGTCATCATTTTTGAACAGTTTTTTCGCTATAACTTGGCCAAAAAACGAGATATCGATCTGAAATTTGGTATGCATTTAGAAGAGCGCTGGGACTATCACATATATTCCGGTTTTTTCCAAATTCGGAAAAATTTGGATTTTTTCAAAGTTTTTCTAAAAAATCAATTTTTTGATTTTTTTTTGGTCAAAAACCAAAAATTTTGAAAATCCGAGATAGCAGTTTTGTAGCGCCGCTTTTTGTCTACTAGACCATATAAAGAACTTTGAAATTGCTTGATAACTGTAGATTTGGTGAGCGTTTCAAGATTGCATGTTTTTTGCTCATTTTTGCTCGAACATAACCTCAGTTTGACCTCAATAACTCCTGACCTAAGGTGACCTAGGACTTGAAATTTGGTGTGAAGGTGTCAAATTGATGCCCGGGAAGGTACTGAAAATTTGGCGGCGCTGCGCGCCGCCGTTTTCTTGCTATTCAGGAAAACCCACAGGGGGGGGCCAAAATGGCCCCCCCAAACGGGGCGAGGGTTAAACATTTCAAAATTGAGCTCCACTGCTCCTTCCCAACCTGACACTGAAACGAAAACAAATGATGCTTATTTGAACGATCTATGTGAAAACACATTTTTATTCTTGAAATCGTACTCACAGCGTCTTCAGATGCAGCAGTTTCCGAAAGGTTTTGTTGGTGATGTGCCGAATCTGATTATCGTCAAGATGCCTGAGGGAAGTTCGGTATTGTTCAATGGAGCTGAAACTCGCCAATGAGTGCAAGAAGTGGTTTCATTCGTCGTCTACAAAATGGGATAAATAACCCTGAACTGGTTGACAGCCTAATAAGTATTGTTATTGACGAAGTGATTATTCCACTTCAAAAAAAAAAAAATACATACATGCGACATTTTAATGAATGGATATTTTTTATAAAAGGAATCATGATTCCTTTTATTATATGATTCGACGTCCGTGCACGGATGTCTGTCGTTCACAAAACTATAGCGATAAAACCTTATAAGTGAAACGGAATATTAATGAAACAATGCAATTAAGTGGAACATGTACTTACAGTTTCTGTATCTTGCACTCTGGGAACTCATAATTTTCTAGAGTTAGTCTGTTGTAGCTCATATTTCTGGAAAAGTAAATGCAGCCGTGTATAGTTACTGGATACGTTTTGGCATAGACTACTACATACAATATAAACAAATGCACACGCGCACACACACGCGCGCACACACGCGAAACGAAGGGACTCAGTAGGTCTGGCTGTTTCTACGGCAATAGTAAAAAAAAAAACAATCAGGTATCAGGAAAAACATCTCCCAAGAGCCAAAGAGCCGCATTGCGCGACTACTTTATTGGCTTGCGTCACCCGATTAGGGCAGCAAATTGCGACTACAGGAAAGGCTGAGTAATAGTAACGCATTTTGCCTGATTGCGCCCAAATTGTTGGGCACTCTGCACGGTATGGCCACTGGCCAGGGACGTACGAAAAGACTACAGTTATCGCTATATTGGCGATAGCAAATTGTCTGACAACTGTTATCTTTAGCCTCCTCCCACCTGTGAATCGCCCCAGGGTATTAACTCTTCCGAGCTATCTGGCGAGTTTCTGCTCGCTGCAACTCACAGGAAGTGCAGCTGAGTGAGGTGTCCGATGGGCGGCATGTGGGTCAGCAGGTTCTGGTCCATCAGCAGCTGCGTCAGAGACGAGCCGGCGCCAGAGAACGCCATCTCCGGCAGACGAGTCAGCCGGTTCCTTCGCAGCAATCTGAACAGGGCAGACGGAGGCAACGGGATGTCACACAGACCAAGTTGGGTGCGGACTTGGCATGAAAATAAAGTTATTTGATTATATTAACAACCAGTGAAAGCGATGTTCCTATAAATGCATACTCATGCAACTGAACAAAACAACTCCTAAAAAGTCAGGTTATAGCATTTCAGTGTATGTGGGTTACTAAAAACAATCTGACTGGTGGGGAAAACAGCTAACTTGCCAAATCTCTCTCTCTCTCTCTCCCTCTCTCTCTCCCTCTCTCTCTCTCTCTCTCTCTCTCTCTCTCTCTCTCTCTCTCTCTCTCTCTCTCTCTCTCTCTCTCTCTCTCTCTCTCTCTCTCTCTCTCCAATTAGTGAACGGCGCCATACTTACAGCTTGAAAAGACTGTCTTGGTTTGCAAAAAGACCCTCCGGAATATCTTCGATGCCATTGTCATTCAGGTTTCTATGGAATAAAAGGTCAATGAATTAGATGTTTGATACTCATTGGGTTGCTGCAACATTGCCGATGTAAAACAATTGTTAAGGTAGTTCTTGGTTTCAAGGGAGTGCAAAATTGTTTTGTCTTTTCCATACATTTTTAATGCAACATACCTAACATACCTAATACCCAGTTTTCACGTTTCGATTATTATCACTTTAGAAGTCACAACTTATCAATCATTTGTGTCTCAACATTGTTGATACATTTACATAATGCTTTTTCCAATGGTGAGCCGGTATTATCTGGCACTTACATCATCGTTAGTTTCTTGTATTTGTCCAGATCACCCTTGTGGAGGACGATCCGGTTTCGATGCAAGTACCTGAAATGAACCAAAGCATCAGCAGTCAGAATTGCGATCCATCATTCATCCAGACATAGATAACATGAACTACCTGGATTGGACACTCGTTTTTGGCGCGAAAAATAAGAGGCCACTTTGGCCTCTTATTTTTAATGACGTATTTTTAATCAGTATTTTGAGAGGCTGATATCTCAGCAACCGCTGGGCCGATTCGCCTGCGGTCTTTTTTGTTGGGTAGCTCCATCCCTTCTGCCCCGCAGTTCACTTATCGTAGTGCATTCAGGTGACCGTCGTGGCACGTGGCACGTGAGAAGTTGGGGTGTTCCAAGTCGTTCTGCTGGAGTAACTATTTTGAGAGGCCTATAGCTAAGTAACCACTGGGGCGATTGACTTGCGGTAACTTTTGTAGAGTAGCTGTATCTCTTCTAACAAACATTGGATACTCATGATGAACGTGAGTGACCCCCGCTGCACGTGCGAAGTGCAAAAAACAGAAGAGGTGTTATATTTGTTCCCATTTCAGTAACTCAGCAACTACTGGGGCGATTTCGCTGACACTTGGCATGCATGTAGGCACCCACCGGGCAATGCATATCCGTATGTCATGGTTGGGGTGCTATTGCACGTGCGTACGTGCAGGGGTCGCTTCCAGATCTCGAGAACGGCAGGACCGATTGCACTCAAATTTGGTACACGATTAGAGACCGGTGAGAAGGGTGCCGTGCAAAAGTCAGTTGGGACCCATATTGCACGTGCGCACGTGCAGGGTGCCGCTTCCAGATCTCGAGAACGGCTGGGCCGATTGCGCCCAAATTTGGCACCTCGCAAGAGACCAGTAAGTAGAGTGCCGTGCACCGGGTAGGTTGTAGCTCTGCGCGTGCTCACGTGCTCACGTGCACACCCCTCTGTCATATCTCAGAAACGGAGTGACTGATTGCAATGAAATTTAGTGTGTGATTGGATGCTGGATGTGTACGAGTTTTTCTGAGTCGATGAAGGTGAGGTAATGCACGTGCGCACGTGCAGGGGTCGCCTCCAGATCTCGAGAACGGCTGGACCGATTGCGCTCAAATTTGTCACACGATTAGAGACCGGCGAGAAGGGTGCCTTGCGAAAGTCAGTCAGGACCCATATTGCACGTGCGCACGTGCAAGGTGCCGCTCCCACATCTGAAGAACGGCTGTATCGATTGCGATCATATTTGGGACACCGCAAGAGACCAGTTGGTAGGGTGCCGTGCACCGAGGAGCCTGTATCTCTGCGCGTGCTCACGTGCGCACGTGCACACCCATCTGTCATATCTTAGGAATGGACTGACCGAGTACAATGAAATTTTGTGTGTGAATGGGTGCTGACCGTGTATGAGTTTTTCTAAGTCGACGAAGTTGTGCTAAAGCAAGTGCGCGCGTGCACACCGCACACCCCATATTTACAGCTAAAAACGGACTAGCCGATCTCAGTAAAAGCTGGTGTGCGATTGGGAAATAAAAAAGTGCATTTATTGTATGCTCCAGCACTGAATATGCATGTGCGCAAGTGCACACCCAACATTAACAAGCTGAAGGCCGATTTCGATCAAATTTGCCGTGCGATTAAGGGATAAGGTAACAAATGCATTGACTGTGTGCATCAGAATGGGTGCGAGTATGCACATATGAAGGTGCACAATCCATTTTTAGAGCTGAAAAACGGGCAGAGGCTGGTGGTGATCAGATTCGGGTCATAATCGATAGCGTAGCTCGCTCAGACTGGGGATTTCAGTCAGGTCAGGTATATACCTGACCTGACCGTACTACCCAGCCTGAGCGAGCTACGCTATCGATTATGAACCGAATCTGATCACCACCAGCGTGCTCGTTTTGTCAGCTCTAAAAATTGGGTTGTGCATATTCACACTTATTCTGATGCACACAGTCAATGCAATTTGTTGTCTTATCCCCTAATCGCACGGCAAATTTGATCGAAATCGGCCTTCCAGTTTTTAAGCTGTTAATGTTGGGTGTGCTCGTGCACGTGCGCACGTGCATAAGCACACCTTCGCGACTTAGAAAAACTCATACACGGTCAGCATCCAATCACACACCAAATTTCATTGTAATCGGTCTGTCCGTTCCTGAGATATGACAGATGGGTGTGCACGTGCGCACGTGAGCACGCGCAGAGCTACAGGCTCTTCGGTGCACGACACCCTACCAACTGGTCTCTTGCGATGTGCCAAATATGATCGCAATCGACACAGCCGTTCTTCAGATGTGGGAGCGGCACCTTGCACGTGCGCACGTGCAATATGGGTCCCAACTGACTTTGGTAAGGCACTCTTCTCGCCGGTCTCTAGTCGTGGGACAAATTTGAGCGCAATCGGTCCAGCCGTTCTCGAGATCTGGAGGCGACCCCTGCACGTGCGCACGTACATTACCTCACCTTCATCGACTTAGAAAAACTCATACACATTCAGCATCCAATCACACACCAAATTTCATTGCAATCGGTCAGTCCGTTTCTGAGATATGACAGAGGGGTGTGCACGTGAGCACGTGAGCACGCGCAGAGCTACAACCTCCCCGGTGCACGGCATTCTACTTACTGGTCTCTTGCGAGGTGCCAAATTTGAGCGCAATCGGCCCAGCCGTTCTCGAGATCTGGAAGCGGCACCCTGCACGTGCGCACGTGCAATATGGGTCCCAGCTGACTTTTGCATGGCACCCTTCTCGCCGGTCTCTAATCGTGTACCAAATTTGAGCGCAATCGGTCCAGCCGTTCTCGAGATCTGGAAGCGACTCCTGCACGTGCGCCGCACGTGCAATAGCACCCCAACCATGACATACGGATGTCTTTGACGGCGGGCATTGCCCTGTGGGTGCCTACATGCATGCCAAGTTTCAGCGAAGTCGCCCCAGTAGTTGCTGAGTTACTGAAATGGGAACAAATTTAACGCCTCTTCTGTTTTTTGCACTTCGCACGTGCAGCGGGGGTCACTCACGTGCATCACGAGTATCCAATGTTTGTTAGAAGGGATACAGCTACTCTACAAAAGTTACCGCAAGTCAATCGCCCCAGTGGTTACTGAGATTAAGCCTCTCAAAACAGTTACTCCAGCAGAACGACTTGAACACCCCAACTTTTCACGTGCCACGTGCCACGACGGTCACCCATGAACGCACCACGATAAGTGAATTGCGGGGCAAAAAGGATGGAGCTACCCAACAAAAAAGACCGCAGGCGAATCGGCCCAGCGGTTGCTGAGATATCAGCCTCTTAAAACACTTATTAAAAATCCGTCATTAAAAATAAGAGGCCAAAGTGGCCTCTTATTTTTCGCGCCAAAAACGAGTGTCCAATCCAGGTAGTTCATGTTATCTATGATCCAGAATAACTCATTGTCGGATGGCTTCATTTATCTTCAGAAGATTCCCTTTGTGTACGTACGTGTGTTAAGTTGTATTCGTTTCTATTTGTTGGAGGAAGAGCGTTGATAGCTTTAAATATATCAAGTAATATTCTAGCATGCAGCATACCCATGGCTTTATAACGCCCATTGCCTACTTGTGAAAATGGTACATCTGCTATCAAAATGGAGCCTTGGAGCCTTTTACTGATATGTATATTGTGTAATAGGATATATGTATATGTGTAATAGGATATACCTACAGGATTTCTTTTCTTGTGTGTGCATTGCTATCCTGAGCCAGCAACTATAGATCGATAATTAAATATGGAGGTCTAATATCGCTATTCGCATTTGATGTAATAGCATTTGGAGCTTGAATGCGGATAATTGCCTACATGTAATGTAATTTTATTCCAACGCCAGAGGATAAAAGGCAAATTTTCTTGGGATTGTCTAGCATTCATCAGCAATCACATAGACAAAGCTCTGTCAAATAACTATATGTGTAGTTGCTGAGTTTTCAATCAAGCGTCATTGTGGCCATTTTCCTGTGCTTAATTTCGGCTTAGCCGGCTATGTTCATCATCACATCAGAATTCATATCTGGTATCAGCTATCTATACGCTATTGAGCTGCGATGATGCCATTTAGCTTTCATTCCGCATGCCGTAGGCAAAGCGTCCTTATGGGTGCCAAAGTACGGGGCACGTGACTGCCCCACTGCCGCACATGAGTCTAGCTGACCATGCCAGATCCAGGAATCGGTAGCTATTTTATTGCACAATGCACATCTAGCACATCTGAAGTGTTGAATTTATATTTTGCCTACAAACGAAGTTAAGATATAAGTATCATTAAAAACAGAGTTTTCTCAAAGAATGTAAAAAAAAAACGTAAACTTGTCATCGATTCGCTTTGTTGAAACGAGCAACGTGTATTCATCATATGAATGAGACACGATATTAGCGGCAGCACTTAAATATGTAGATTTCCAGTTGTGGCATCACCTAGCAAGCTAAAGTGTTGAGGACAGCTTGCATACTTCAGCTCCAAGTACAAAAACGATGTCATCAGCTGGCAACTACACGGAAAGCACCTCTGAGGCCTCTTGGAACCGTGCAAGGGAAGCATTGCACCAGTGCGGTGTGATAAAAAGGAGGAATATCCCGACTAGCAAAGAACGATGACCTTGTTTCGACTTTAATTAAATCCCTTCCGACCTAAATGACATCAGCACTATCAGGTGCGGACCTAAAGTGGCTCTCATACCCGGCCTAAAACATATGTTGCAACGGCACTTGACTTGCTATCCTTTCCAATGCACATTGCATACCTACATGCATGAACAATTTGCTGCGCTAAGGGAGCTACGAGTGCAGTTTTCTCACCTCTATCTCGAATGAACAAATGCGGGTTAACTTCTGACAGAATTCAACCAAACACAGCATAATTACACACGTACGTAATTAACTGTAATTATGATTTAATCCTTCAGCCATATCGAAAGCCTGAAAGTTTAAAGGTTTGCCCACCATGCTCTTCGCTACCTTTGCATCATCCAAAAGCACCTGTGATCTAAAACGGTCGGTATGCGAGCCCGGATTAGTCCGACCTCACAGCCCGCAGCTCCAGTAAACACATACCCTGACGCCACCCTGTGAACCCGCCCTCAGCCCGCGGCCTCCCGGTAGTAGCACGTGTTACACCCCACTCTAACTGGATCGCCCTAAAGCGCGGTTCATACCGGAGCTCGTCGCCGCGTGCCTGAAGTGTGTTACACCTGACCAGTGACGCTGACCGGTTGGGGTGTCTAAATAGAAGCTCTATTGCTGACCTCAGAGTGTAGACAGGCGCTCTAGTATCCGCCTGAGCGCTGGAGGGGAGGTGTTTGGAAATGCCCGGCCCGTGCTGGATGTTTGAGCCACGGACCGTGTTTGACAGGGTTCCGCCGGACGGGCGTGGAAAGACGGGAGACCGAATCAACCGGATCTAGTCCCTTTCCTCACTCTTGGTAGCAGAAATACCTACCACATGGATGGCCCAAATGAATTTGGGTATTCTTTTTTCGAATCGGGCCTTTGTTCGATACCTACATATATAAGCATTTGAACAATAACTTTGGATTCCCAATCACTAAGTACATATTTATTCATCACCAACGGATTTTTCTAATTGTATGTCATATATATAACAATAGATATGAGCACTGAGCAGTAAACAAGCATTGTTTTATATGTGGAGCACTTAGCAAAGAACTGAAACTATGAGCATCCCATGATTAGAACGGTGTACTTCTTCAAAGCATGCCCCTGAACAGCTTCCATTTCGCCTGGAGGTCAGGAAAATTAGCAGCCCATCTAGACCTCATTTAGATTCCAGTGGTTCCAGAATTCTACTTCTGGAGTTATGAAACTCAGTTGCCCGTAACTTTTCGGCAAAGTTGACTGCCTAATATATATTTTTCTTTGTCGTTGAATGAAGTGTTTTTCCCGATGGACCAACTGCTGCGTTTCCTCAATTTGATGTTTGATCAACATACCATTATGTTCGAACTTAATTTTCGCCAGCGTTAATCAAAAAAAAAAAAAAAAGAGGAATGCTCGATATCAGAAGCAATAATAAGTGTGCTTTGTAAAAGTAATTATTACAGACACATACCTAATTGTGTGGGCTATTGTTGGTTTTTAAAGAGTACAAACACGCTCAATGCAACGAAAATGACGTCAAGTATAATAAAAGGCTTGCTGTTTTAATGACTTCACTAAGATATCAATAAACCAGTAAATACTTGCTTTACAAGAAGGGCTAAAAACTTGATTTTAACGTCAATGAACACAAAGTCATTACTATGAAATATCTTACATGGAGGCCTCCCGGTCTTAATTGAAAACTGCTATCTGCAATAAACCGCGCTTATATGTTAGATAATATTGCACATAAAGTTCATGATGCTCCGTCTCCTTTCATTAGACAAGCAAGTATGAGATAGAGTGGGCACTATTGCCAACAGCTATCAGCTGGCTCTGCAGACAATGCACACTGCACACACCATGCATAATGACAGTCTAATGCCACATGCATCATGCATGATCTTCAGCACCCGATCAAACTGGACTGGACTTCAGCCTGTCCAGATACCGGAAAATGGATCAACTCGGACCGTGGGGTACTGGGAATGTGATTACATCGTCGTTTACTATGCAAATGGGGCAATGACATTTTGCATGCGTAATAACGCCGGTTTGTGCTGTCTTCCGACTATACTGACTATACTGATTATGAATCGATAAGCATTGTGCGCCATCGAACGTGCATCACTGTAGGTATATGGAATCAGTATGAGTACTATGATAATTTGATCCAATGAAACGGCTTAGAGATGCTCAACATTGGTCGTATGATAGCTGAAAATTGTTTATCAACAGCAATTTATCAACAGAGGAAATATAAGGGGTGAGGCTCATGGCATCCTACACCGTCGGCGGATTTTACTGCCGAGGATTTGAAGCGGGACGGTATGCAGCGGGACGGAATAACTCGTATTGGTCTGATGTTGGGACTGATGTGATCTTACAGGACAGCAGACGTCCGAGTCAGGCTTGACGCTGTTTGTAGCTGATGGTAACCAAGAACATCAATGGGCGTGACGTGGGGGCTGAAGTTTGAAAACATCGCGTGGAAAAGACCAGAGTATAGCCGGTTCGACCCTTTACATATATCGCCTTGGGTTCGATTGACACTCTCCCGGGGCAGCATACGTCACGTACGTACTTACATGCGCGTGACGTTTGGACTGACGTTGCCCGGTATCCGCGTCAGTTGTCTGTCGTCACACTCCAGGCGAGTGTTGTAGACACAGTTACACACCGGCTGATTGTAGTTCTCCAGTTCTGATGCACATGGAGCAAATGACTGGTAAGAAATTTGGGCACAGGTAACCTGTATCGGTACCTCTCGGCAGCACCTGTAGTACAGATGAAAACTATGTACTAAGGAATCGACTAGTAGGGGCATTCCACGATAGATCGACCAAAAATAAATAAAATCTACACCCTCATACTTTATTTTTTGCTTAAAATTGGTCTAATGGGTTGTGATAGGCGGGGAACCCAGCTGTGGCAATGATTTTTTTTCTTCGAACAACGGTTTCCGAGAAATAGCCTCAGGCAATTCCTGGAGGTCACGCTGCAACCCTATGTTTGGCGGCTTATAACTCAGAAATTATTGGTTTTCTATGGTAAAAACTTTAAATGGTTCAACTCGCAATCAACCAACAAACGTTTTGGCTATCTCGGGTTTTCGATTTTTGAAAATTTTGATCACGTGACATCTTGACCTTTTTTCGAAGAGTGACCTAGATATTTTTCCAACTGAAAGTCGCAATTTTGTCTGATGACGATTAAAGCCTTATCAGTTGTCATTCATATGCGATAATAAAAAAGTGGCTTTCGGCCTGCGTTGACCTCAGGTCAGGTAATTTTTATGACCTTCCCATTATTACGAGCGGGAGCGACAGCGACATCTCGAGAACAAATCAAGATAGCGACAAGCGGTAAACGGCACAGGGTACACATGGATAAGGTCTACAATTTTTACTCAGGTCATTTTCAGTTCAGGTCAAAGATGACGTCACAGAGGTAAAAAGAAAGTCGAAATGGCGGCACTACATATATAGGGGAGAGTGGGGCAATGGCGACACCATAAGCATTTTGCTCAATAGCTTAGCTGTTTGAAGCTATTTTATGGTGATTTTGACTGTGGTTGTAGCCAAAGGAATAGGCTTTCAGATAACACCCAGTTTTAGTATCTCAGATCACTGATGACAGATTCAGAGCCTACGCGAAAATGTGGTGAAAAATGGAGGTGCAAAAAAGCGAGGGGTAATGCCGGCCACTAAGTGCAATAGCACAAAAAGTCGAAATATCGTCACTGGTATTCATCCTCAAACCGTTCTTTCGATGGAAATTTAAGTGAGAATTAAGAAACGACAACTGTACTCAGCAGTTAACAGTGCATTGCACTGCAACACAACACTGCACTCGCTGCAACACAACAGCGCGGCGCCAACAGAGCAGCAAACTAACACAACCGTAAACAGCAAGCAAACTAACACAGCCGTAAACACAGCAACCCGAAACGTTGAGCTTTAACGACAGAAGTCGCAAACAAAACCGCGTGGGGTCATTCCGGACACGTGTCCGGTATTACCCCGAGGTCAGCTTTATTTTAAGAAAGCAGGCAGCAGTCAAAGGCATTGTGTCGCAAACCCCTCACATCCAGCAGTCGCCTAAGAAAGGCTTAATTGAAGGTCATTGCAAAGCAGCACTTCTGAAAATGCGTTAACCCTCGCACGACCAGGCCATTTCTCATAACACGAACGACCAGGGGGGGGGTTGTTACGACCCCCCCCCTGGCGTTTCGAAACGGAAGGTCGTAGAGCTTAGCGGAAAAACCAACGGATTGCTCTCAACGAGATCTCGCGATTGGTGGTATATTTTTTGGTCCTAGGTCAACATTTGACCTACTTTTGACCGGTCAAAGGTCAAATTTTCGGAAAAATAGACTTTTTTCAACTTTCGGCGGCGATTGCGGCAAAACGGTGGGAGATATCGACTTGAAACCTTCACTATTGTGTTCCTTGATCAATTCTCTATCGTTTGGTATGTATTTCGTTTCCCTCTAAAAATGGCGCGTTGGGAGCGCCGGAAGTCGGCAAGGTCACAGTCGGCGGCAGAAATTCGAAAAATCAAAATTTAAATTTTTGAAATCTGATTGTATTTTTGGATTTGGGAGGTCCATTTCCTCCCTATAGAAGCTAATATTGCTGCATATTCCCATTGAGGTGACAAGAATTAGCAAAATAGTGGTTCGGGCGCTTTTCAAAAATAGTACCGGACGCTGTTCCTCTTGTGACGTCATAGCTCCGTGACCTGACCTGACCCGGTCAAATTTCTTATGCCATATGATAGCCAATACTTGCCCCAACATGCATGGGAAGTTTCATCACGATCCATCAACCGATGTTCGTACCACCGGCAGGAAACCTCGGGCGTTGGCACTCAGTTTGTGAAAATCCGGCCGGAGGCTGTACCTCTTATGACGTCATAACTCCGTGACCTGACATGACCCGATCAATTTTTTTTCGGCAAAAGATGCGCAAAGGTTGCCCCAGTGGGTATTGAAAATTTCAGCCCGCTACGACAAGCCGTTTAGCGTGCACTTCGAAAAAACCTCAGGGGGGGGGTTGATACAACCCCCCCCCTAGGCGTTCTAGGGTTAACACATTTCACAGTCAGCAAATAGATGCAACAAAAATTAAAAATCAGATACGAAAAACACATTTAACGCTATAAAAATGAAAATAATGGAGCTACCGTGACAAACTTGCACCACGTGCTAGAATGGCGCTCAACTGAAATGTAAACAACATCAGCTGATTAGTGATGGACAAAGTACTCACAAGAGATGGGTGGCCGGCATTACCCACTGTCCGCCATTGCCCCGCTCTCCCCTATATTAAGTTTTTCTCGAATAACTTTCAAAGTATCACAGCTAGTAACAAACTAATAGCACCATCGTGATCTTCTCGTCGATCCGCATCGAAACATGTGTATGTTGACCTCGAAAGGTCAAGGTCAAAAGTTGACCTTAGGTCACGTGACCTTAAGGTCATCATATATATCATTCGATGGGCCTTGACGAGCTGAACACAATGAGCCTATCCGCGCGGCTGTATCTCAAACCTGTAAGGAGTTATTAGCAAAAAACATTTGGTGACCTTTACATAATGACGTCACATGACCCAAGAGCAACGCCACAGTTGACCAAGAGCAAAAAAGGTCTCAAGGTAGTCAAAGTTAGTCGTATATGAAGTCACTCATGGTATATTAGGCAATTCCGACGCGTTTTACTGTAAAAATAATGGAGCTGATTTTTCCCCAATTGACTTATAATGGGGTGGTCAAGAAATTGACCTGACCTTAGGTCATCGGTATTGAAATTCAAAACGAACTGGCGCTAGGCGAAAGCAAACGCATTGGTGCCTACTCTACGTCTCTTTCTTTATTAGAGCAAAAGGTACAGCCAAAAACGGAAAATTATTGTGTGTTCAACGCGTGGCCTCGGATGACCTTTCAGCGGGTCACTGATACAAAGCTGCACCAGTGCCATCAAATATAGCCTAACTCAACATGATTCAAAAGTATTTGAACCGGTCAGATGCGTTTCGGTGGTAGCCGATATTTCTGCCATTGACTTATAAAGGACAGGTCACAAAAATGACCTGATCTCAGGTCAATGCAGGCCAAAAGCCAATTTTTTATTGTCGCATATGAATGACAATTGATAAGGCTTTAATCGTCATCAGACATAATTGCGACTTTCAGTTGGGAAAAATATCAAGGTCACTCTTCGAAAAAAAGGTCAAGATGTCACGTGATCAAAATTTTCAAAATCGAAAATCCGAGATAGCCAAAACGTTTGTTGGTTGATTGCGAGTTGAACCATTTAAAGTTTTTACCATAGAAAACCAATAATTTCTGAGTTATAAGCCGCCAAACATAGGATTGCAGCGTGACCTCCAGGAATTGCCTGAGGCTATATCTCGGAAACCGTTGTTCGAAGAAAAAAAATCCTTGGCACAGCTGGCTTCCCCGCCCATCACAACCCATTAGACCAATTTTAAGCAAAAAATAAAATATGAGGGTGTACGGCTTTGGTCGATCTATCGTGGAATGCCCCAGTACTTAGGGTGCCATTAAAACCCAATCATGAATTGTATCTAAGGTGGAAGTTTTGTCAGATTGTCTCATACTTATGTTTTCTTCTTTAACGCACTCTGTTGACATCAGTTACATATTCCCCTTTTCATAAACAAACTTACGGCAGGAGTCACGATCGCCGAAGAGCTTCGAGGCGTTTCCGTACAATCTGGGATCGTATATGGTTGTAGCTATCTTCCCCCTCTCTGAAACAGCCAAACAGAGTCATTTACGCGCCGTGGGGCCTCAGCAGAATTGCCTTCAAGACGTACCGACAGTCGTAAAATTGTGATAAAACTACACCAAAGCAGCAACATATTGTCAGGATGCAGGCAATTTATTACATTTTGTGCATTCATCACAGTACACTGATATGTTGTTGCGTTCAATTATAAACGCTGATGAAAGAAGAATAGACAAGGTAATCAAAACTTAACCTAGCTACAAATGAGTATAAATCCGCGCAGGTGTTCCCAACGATCGGTGTTAAATGTTTATATTATTTTTATAATGAGTTCAACTGAACCACTGCGACACCACTCGTTAAAAAAACGGGCCATGTATCACTGAAGCGGAAATAGTTTGTGTGCAGTGTCAGTGTGCACTGGATAGACATGTTACGTTATTTTGCCGATACTTCGTACGAGCATTCAGTGAAATATCCTGGAATGGTCAACAAAAAGCACACGGATTTTTACACACATTTAAGTGCTTTTAAAAGCGAAAGCCGTCGGAGAACGTGGAGCGATTGATGTACTCACTGCAGAGGTCGACGCCCTCGTCCTCTCCGTTTTTGCAGTGTCGTACTCCGTCGCAGATGAAGACCTCCTGCAGACAGTAGCGCGCCTCACCGCTGCGCAACTCACAGACGTACTTGGTACCCTTCGGGCAGACACCTGTGAACAGTCAGACGGCACAGTTAATTACCTCGACGATATGGTGATTACTGGGTGCTGGCTCCTGGATAATGGTATCAAGTGTCTCTTTTGTGATGTTTTGTCATCAGCATTTACCACTGTCCAGTCTCATTCAACAATGATGCCTGTTCATGAGTGTTGAGTGTTGTAATCACCACTGTGCGGATAGCGCTAAAGCATGAAAGCCCACGACCTGGCAGTGGCACCAATAACTGGAACAATGGCAGTTGGTGGCTATGGCTCGCGGCCGACTGAGCGCAATGGTTGACGTAATGACGCCATACGTCGTAGGTGAGGGTCACATTAGCGTCAAAGGTGGGACAGGCGAACATTAGAGCGATGTCAGAAAGGTATGACGGCTGGCCTTATCGCACTGTGCAGCTTCTCGGCAGCACTGACCCAAGACAAGGAATCAAATGTATGGCGAGTTTCACAGACAGAGTGGTGGTGGCATGCTAATGCTTTTCATGGAATTCCTGAGATCGGAAGTAGCTGTATGAAATACTTTCTAGTTTCTACTTGTATTGCTGCATTTTGATACAGATACGGACAGAGGATATGACACAAGACCTCATATATTTCTTGAGCATTGTAGGCATCATTGTAATTTCCTGGCAGGTTAAGCGCCCTTTAGAGCTTTTGGCACAAACAGTTCAACATTTTATCAGAGCAGACCAAAAACCAACCAAAGCGGCATCTGAAGCTACCACCTCCCCAGACGATCTCTCGTTACCCTGCCATGGACGGCCAACGTCGGCCCTTCTCGTCTATCGGCAGCCCTCGCACCCCCATCATTACGAGCTGCGTGTCCGAAGGAGGGGGGGGGAGCGTCTGATTTGGCAGCGATCCATCCCCCCGCCCCTTCCCCTCCCCGGCAGACCGAGCCAACGGAGATACGCACTCTGCGTGGACGTGCTGTGTGCCTGTCTGTCAGCGTCTCGGGGGGGGGGAGAGGGAGGAGGCTGGGAAGTATAGAGGCCATACATAGCCACGACTTATAGTCACTGGGGAGTTGAAGACGGCAAGCGGCAGTGATTACTTCGATAATGCTTCAAGCAATTGGGTTAGGTTAGGATGCGGCTACGCTACATGCTTAAATATTTACATCGACAGCAACCCAACAACAAACCCGGATGCGGTTTACTCTATCAAATTAAAGTGACATACTTACATACGTCATAGAAAGAAAGCATGATTGAATGTTTCGTATGATATATCATGAAAGCATGTTGCCACTTAACTTTTTCTTTAAGCAACTACTGTTAACGCCAGACCCCTTGAGACCCTAATTTTTCGCGATTACTTTTAGGGGAAGCGGGGGAGCACCGCCACCTTAAGCATTTCTGCTCACCGAGCTGATATGCGTAGTAAAAACGAAGCTCTTTTGCATTCATGTGAAGTAGGAATGTTTTCCTACATGTTGGCATAGTTTCCAGCGCTCCATTATAAAATTTCGCTACTTTACAGACGTCGAAAACAAGTCCTGCATTTTTCGTCCTCCAAAAAATGTGCGGGTAGCACCGCCACTGATGGCGATGTTATCCACAGATCGGCCTTACGGTGACAGCCACCCTTGGAAGGGTTACTGCTGTCTGAAATAGTAACTCAAACTCATATAAGACACACAAGAATTGGTTGTTAGTTTGTCACAGATCAGACTGTTTGTTGCGGACAATATGCATACAAAGCATGACAAATTCACGTTTATTTCGAAACATCCAGTGAAGTCAAACGTGAGGTTAAAAACAGACGACGTTTGCGGCCTAACTAAAGCTCTTCTCCGAGCTGAGTGAATCATCATTGCGGCTTTATCCATTTTGCCACCCCTTGGGGTAGCACCGCCGAGCATGGCGGTGTTACCCCACTCACAGTCATGGACCGACAACGCCCCGACAGCAAAACAAGCCGGGACGCGATTCTTCTGTAATTCCTTTCTCAACAAAGAGCACTTCATGCCCTCAAATTTAGCGTAAAAATCAAGGCATTTTGACTTGAAATGACCACTTACTTGCTGCTCAAACATGCCAAATGATTACAACGATGGTTTGAAATTCACAAAATGGGCAATTGCGATCTCAAAATCAAATAAATCTGAGCGAAACCTACCTCACGCGGCGTCCCGTTTCCGTTCGGACACCGAAATGGCGGGTGTTTTACATTTACAATTCAGCG